ATATATATATATATATATATATATATATATATATATATATATATATATATATATATATATATATCTGTATGTAAAAAGGTAATATATAAACATATATTTTAATATATGGCCACGTATATTAGCGATTTAATCACAAGTTTGATTTTATTCTGTCAAAAGTTAATCAATTCTAATATTACTGTTATTAATATAAATTACTTTTTATTACTATTTATCAAGCTATCGATTGCTCCGATGAAATTGTTTACAAAAAATGCTATATTTCTATCTATTTCTTAAATTCCTACGACAAATCTTATTCTGGGGAAAAAAGCTTTCAGAGCAAAGTTATTTGTAGTTTTATATTAATAAACCATTTTGGAGGTACTGGTATCCTAGTAAAATTAGCAAAATCTTTTCTCTCCGTATGATTAAGGGTATACGATTAACCGAATTGACCGATTAACCGATGTCAAAAAAGTTGAACATCCGGTTTTAAATCGTGAAATAGGTTTGAAAGCGATTAATCGGAGCAATGGTTAATCGATTTTCTTCAGTCCTACTTGATACACTAACATATGTGCATGATATATTCGTGTGCCAAATGGAAACGTGTCGTTGCTTCGGCTGCATACGTGTATGTAGAGATGAAACAACGAAGCGGCAACACACTCTTAGATTCGGCGTCGATTCGACATAGGGATATCATGCATATGTATTAGTGTATCAAGCCCTCACTATGTCTCGTAGCTATGGGCGGAGGGACGCAGCGATTCGCGTATATCACAGTCGCGCGCTGACCGAAGACATCTTTCTTTCAGCTGGCGCTTCCTCTGCTCTCATTAGCTGAGACAAAATAATTAATTTCTCAAAAACTATTGCGAATATCGCAAAATGGCACAGGACTTTCTTGCTCACTTCAATCTGTTCTACGTTTTCACAAACGTGAAAACGTGGTCATCATGGATGTCTGAGACACCCTGTACATTTAACTCTTTAAGGCGCATAATTCATGGAGTATTCTAGTAACTCTTTTTTAATGAAATATTGTCAAAAACATTCTAAATAGCATATTTATAAGGTTTTAACTGCGCGATCCTAAGTGGTCTCTATTGGTCCCAGTGATACTTAAGAGGATATTCTATTTTCTCATCGAAAAATTTTGCTGATTTTTAGGAATTTTTTTTATGAGAAAATAACGCAGCAATTTGAACTTTGAAATTATATTGTAGTATCCTCAAATTATACAAAAAAACATTTTTTTAAATGTTTTTTCAAGTTTATTAATACGAGCTTTTCTCGATTGCGAGAATGCCTCTAAAAACTGCATGCTCGCTGGCGGACGTGATTGCGGTAGTCAAAATAATCGGCCAAAAAAATACAAAAGAAATCTTAATTTGCATATGAACCGCTATTCCATGAATCACGGAGAAAGAGTTTGCATGAAAAATTTCAAAATAGCGAACTTTCAAACATTAGACTCGAGAAAATGACATTTTATTGCGTCTTTTTATGATGAAAAAAATGGAAAAATATTGATTAATTAACACATCCATGGCTCACACAATATCCACAGGCATATAGAATAATATGTTAAAATTTCAGACTAATTGATCGAATAGTTTTTTTGGAATTGCGTTCGCCAGGTCAAAAAAGTGATTTTAAGAAAAAAGCGTTAAAAATTTTTCGTATCGAATTTTTATATATAAAAGCTACTTACGCCTAATCAGCTATACCTGCTGCATACAAAATGTCTTCATATTTCTTGTAGGCTTCGATCTTAAAAGCACTTTCTTCCCTGCGAGCTCTTCTTAGAGGTGTCGGTGCTGCAACGGTTAGCTTGCGCGATGCGCTGGCCGTCCTGCTTGTGCGCAAGTTGAACGGCTGCGGGTCCAATTGCAACTCCCATAACTTTCATTATTTTCAAGGCAGTGCAAAAGCCTTCATTGAAGACACATGCAGATATATGCAGCAATTTGCAGTGTTTCTTGCCCAGTGAAAATGTGTTTAGGAACTAAATGGCACACGCACGCGTTGAAGCTTTCGTTGTTGTTTCGCGTGTGTGCGTGTGTGTGTAGTTTATTACACATTCTTATAATCCTTTTTCAGACAATTTCAAAGTACTATAATATTATCTATTTTAAGTAAGTCGTTTCGAAGTTATCAAGCTTTTTATGGTAGGATGTCTAGCTAACGAAGGTAAGATCGAGGAATGATCCAGGTAACGAAAGCAAAATTGGAGGATGATCGAGTCAACGAAGGCAAGATCGGTAATTGTTCAGCCAACTAAAGCAGGATTGGCATGATTCGATCTACTATGCATGCCTACGTGATTCGGCTTATTCTCTGAGTATACGAACCCGTTAGCCCTGACGAACTAATGAACTGACGATCTCGTTAGAGTCGTTGCGGTACCTATACTCCTCTGCAACATTGTAAGATTTTTCTTATTGATTTTACTTTCGTTGGCTGGATTATTTTCCGATCTTGTCTTCGTGTGCTAGATATCTTATCATAAAAAGTTTAATAATTTCAAAATAGCTCACTTAAAATAGATAAAGTTATAGTACTTTGAAAAAGTCTAGAATGGCTATAAGAGTATACAATAAAAAGTAAGACGTTCCATTCCAAAAATTCAAGGTGATTTTGCTCTGATCTTGGCGATGTCACCCAAAGTCAAACTAATAAAATCAGCAAATAGATCTTTTTAACTCTTTAAATGTCACAAATTTTTCCTTTGTTCAATCGATATCTGGGGGTTTTTGGAGTCACTAATTACAATTTTAAAGTAAGTTTTTGAAAATCCAAGACGGTGGATCTAATATGGCGGACGACAATTTTAAAACTCCCTCGATTTCCGTGAAAATTGGTATACGAGTATTTTTGGCGCCGCTGATCACGAATTCAAAATCACTTTTTTCAAATTCAAGCTATTCACAGACTCAACTTCACTCATTTACGGAAAAAATATAACATCCCGATTGTTGATATTTTAGCTCGCCATATTGAATTCACCATCTTAAATTTTGAAATTTTTGAGGTACTCATCATCTACAGCAAAAAACATCAACTAAGTCATTTTTTCCATAGGTTTATTTTACATGATATTTTTGACAAATAAATTTTTTTCAAAAAAATACCATTTTCTACATTAATTTATTTATGAATAATTAAATTTGCAAAATTCAATGTTCTATGCAGATAATTCTGTTAGAGGAACATCTAGGCTTCACAATGAATCCACATTTACCGCCTCGAAGTATCTACAAATTAATTTACTTTGTAAAAATTGCTCTAAGAAAAATGTATCATATATGATACACTATGACTTAAAGAGTTAAATTCTACAATTTTTATCTGACATATTTTTTTATATTTTTCGAGATATTTCGGGGTCCCGGAATTTTTAGCTCACCCTATATACAGGGTGTCTCAGAATCTCCTCCGCATATTTTGTGGAAATGTAGAACGGGTTGAGGTAAACATATCGTTTTGCGATATTCGCAATAATAACCGAGAAATTAATTGTAAAAGATTAAGGAAAAACGCACGCTGAATGGTTGAGGGAGGAGCGCTCGTGACCCAGTAATATAACAGGCAGATGTCAGCGCGCGGCTTATATCGCTGTGATCCTACGTCTTACCGCACCGCGCCGAGGCGAGATGTTGGAGTGCAGTGATATAAGTATAAGCGATGGTGAGTTGTTTTTTCAATCACCGCGCGCCGACATCCGTGCTCTATATTATTAAGCCGCGAGCGCTCCTCTCTCAACCATTCAGCGTGCATTTTTCTTTAATCTTTTACAATTAATTTCTCGGTTATTATTGCGAATATCGGAAAATGGTGTAAGATTTTTATGTCCACCTCAGTCCGTTCTACATTCCCACAAAAATTGCGGAGAAGAGTCTGGGACACCTTGCACATATATAACATTATATATATTTTTTTTGTAGGGCCACCTGGTACTGGTAAAACATTGTTGGCTAAAGCTACTGCCGGTGAAGCGAATGTACCCTTCATTACAGTGTCGGGTTCTGAATTTTTGGAAATGTTTGTGGGTGTTGGTCCCTCTAGAGTGCGCGATATGTTCTCTATGGCACGAAAACATGCACCGTGTATATTATTTATTGACGAGATCGATGCGGTAGGTAGGAAGAGAGGAGGTCGAAACTTTGCGGGGCATTCAGAACAAGAAAACACTCTAAACCAGCTCCTGGTAGAAATGGATGGTACGTTATAGTTTTCGACGCGCAAACAAATCGAAATCGTGTAATTTCGATGATATTATTTTTTATGCTTATTATTCCTTTTAAGGATTCAACACTACGACCAACGTGGTAGTTTTAGCGGCGACTAATAGGATAGATATCTTAGACAAAGCATTGTTGAGACCTGGAAGATTCGATAGACAAATATTTGTACCTGCACCAGATATTAAAGGACGGGCGTCTATCTTCAAAGTGCATTTAGCTCCTTTGAAAACAACATTAGATAAAGATCAATTGGCGAGAAAGATGGCTTCCTTGACTCCTGGATTCACAGGTGTGTTTTTAAATTATAGTTTTTAAGTTACCACAAATATTTTTACTTATATAACTTACTATTATTTAATATAACTTATTACATGATTATTAGGTATCAATTTAAAGCTATATCAAAATTGTCAGAAGGTCATATATAGGTTCTTTTAGGAGCTGATATCGCGAACGTTTGTAATGAAGCAGCTCTGATAGCAGCTAGGGATTTGAATGATAACATTCAATTGAAAAACTTTGAACAAGCTATCGAAAGAGTAGTCGCCGGCATGGAAAAAAAAACTAACGTATTACAGCCTGAAGAGAAAAAGACAGTCGCATATCATGAGGCTGGTCATGCAGTAGCTGGCTGGTTCCTGGAATATGCAGATCCGCTTTTGAAGGTACGGCATATTTTCTTGCTCGTCGCGATTAAGGAGGTATTCTAATATGACAACCCGTTTTCAAAACCCGATTTTTGGGAATTAATTTTAAACAAATGGTTAAAACTACAGAGTTAATGTTTTGTCCTGACATTTATTCATCTTTGAAGAAACATTTCAAATTTTGTCAAAGCTTTATGTTCAAAATTGGAGAAAATACAAGTGGACGAAATATGTCACGTCGTTTTCTATCGGGCGTGTTGATTGCCGCCGTTTTCATTGTCTGAAATAAACGAATTTACTTTTATTTTATTCTTTATGAATGTGGCTACTGCCCGAACTAGAATCTTTGTAACGATCCGTACGGATAGTTACGTAAGAAACCAGACCGATAGGGGAAATTCTAATCGCAGAACATCGCGAATCAAAAACGCAAGAGGACAGCACGTTCTCCAGAATGGTAAACAGTGCGACCGCCGAACAACCGCGGTAAATAGCGAATCAAGCGAGATTCGAGGGATATAAAACGCCGCGTAATCGTAATCGAGGGGAATTCAATCGTCCGCTCTCGAAAGAGAATCAGAACCGATCTACCGCTCCCGAAGGAGAATCCGATTCCGATTATCCGCTCTAAGAGAAACCGCTTCTACTCCGCTCCTGGCAGATTACTGTTCGTCGATTGGCGACTGTAATCACTCCGCCGTCGTTACACGGATTCGTGTCATCGACACTCGCTTCTACTCCGCTCCTGGCAGATTGCTGTTCGTCGATTGGCAACTGTAATCCCTCCGCCGTCGGCTCACGGATTTGTGAGGCCGATACTGATCAGGTCCGCGGCACCGCTAACCGCATCCGAAATCGTGTCCGAATGAGCCGAGCTCGTTCAGTCACAAAGGAAATACCGAAAGCTAAGGTCCCGCGTACTAGGACCGACGGACGCATCGCATACACCGAAACGAAACAAATCTCCGCGATAGGAGATCGAAAGGATCGCCGCTAAGGCAATATCCCGCGTGCAGCTACGCTGCAGTCTTAACGATCGTGGACATCATACGAGTCCGAATCGCAGTTAAAATCGCTAAAAGAAGTTGTCAACCGCTCTTAAGAGACAAGACGTCGAAAGAAACGTCAACAGAGTAAAACCGCGAATACGCGACACTGCCGTCGTCCGCGTCCCGCGCACCGCGCGTCACATTTCGCAAACCGGCGTCTAAACAAGCCTCTGTCAGGTGACATAAACAATCAAAACCAACGGCGTCGATACATATTGTTTGATATGTAATTTGTAATTATCAGCTTTATTAATTGTCAGTTTAGTATTTAAATATATTATACATTATTATTTTTGAAAACCACTGCTTCTCAATTATTCCGCTTATCACGAACCCGAACCACCGAGCGATCCGAACACGCGACGAATCGCGGTTACATCTTTTTGATATCTTTAAAATTACTATTTTTTCCGGACCGCGAAAAGTTAGAATTTTTTAAAAATTAGACTACTATTTTTCAAGCACCGCCATTTTGTCAATTTTTCTTCAAATTATTTAATTCTAGTTCGGGCGATAACCACATTCATAAAGAATAAAATAAAAGCAAATTCATTTATTTCCGACGACGGCGGCAATCAACACGCCCCACAGTGGGGCCATTCGGCATGCGTTGTTTAAAAAATATCTACAGCCCTTGGATTTCCACCAATTTTGACGCTTTTTTTAAAATGATTGTCTTGAAATTTGCAAGAGATCTGTCGAGGCTGATTTTCAAAATAATATTTTAGAAATTAGTTATACATATGAACACAAAAACTTTTACTTGAAAGTAAACTGAGACTGCTGAGCAATTTATTTAAATGAAGTGATAAATAATTCTCGAGTATATATACATATGTTATACAGTGTGTCCCATAAGTTCGGCAACGGCAAGAAAACTCGGCGGGGGAGCATTTTAGAGAAAAATGTTTCGAATAAAAGTTGTAAGGCTTAAAAAGTCGCATTTAATGACAGTAGTTATTTGATCTAAGATGACGTCGCCAAGGTCAGGACAAGGTCAACTTTGCTTTTTTAGATAGAAATACATATTTTTTATTACGGCATTTTATTCTACGTGAAAAAGCAAACAACTTTTGTTTGAAACATTTTTCTCTAAAATGCTCCCCCGCCGAGTTTTCTTGCCGTTGCCGAACTTATGGGACACACTGTATAACATATGTATATATACTCGAGAATTATTTATCACTTCATTTAAATAAATTGCTCAGCAGTCTCAGTTTACTTTCAAGTAAAAGTTTTTGTGTTCATATGTATAACTAATTTCTAAAATATTATTTTGAAAATCAGCCTCGACAGATCTCTTGCAAATTTCAAGACAATCATTTTAAAAAAAGCGTCAAAATTGGTGGAAATCCAAGGGCTGTAGATATTTTTTAAACAACGCATGCCGAATGGCCCCACTGTGGGGCGTGTTGATTGCCGCCGTCGTCGGAAATAAATGAATTTGCTTTTATTTTATTCTTTATGAATGTGGTTATCGCCCGAACTAGAATTAAATAATTTGAAGAAAAATTGACAAAATGGCGGTGCTTGAAAAATAGTAGTCTAATTTTTAAAAAATTCTAACTTTTCGCGGTCCGGAAAAAATAGTAATTTTAAAGATATCAAAAAGATGTAACCGCGATTCGTCGCGTGTTCGGATCGCTCGGTGGTTCGGGTTCGTGATAAGCGGAATAATTGAGAAGCAGTGGTTTTCAAAAATAATAATGTATAATATATTTAAATACTAAACTGACAATTAATAAAGCTGATAATTACAAATTACATATCAAACAATATGTATCGACGCCGTTGGTTTTGATTGTTTATGTCACCTGACAGAGGCTTGTTTAGACGCCGGTTTGCGAAATGTGACGCGCGGTGCGCGGGACGCGGACGACGGCAGTGTCGCGTATTCGCGGTTTTACTCTGTTGACGTTTCTTTCGACGTCTTGTCTCTTAAGAGCGGTTGACAACTTCTTTTAGCGATTTTAACTGCGATTCGGACTCGTATGATGTCCACGATCGTTAAGACTGCAGCGTAGCTGCACGCGGGATATTGCCTTAGCGGCGATCCTTTCGATCTCCTATCGCGGAGATTTGTTTCGTTTCGGTGTATGCGATGCGTCCGTCGGTCCTAGTACGCGGGACCTTAGCTTTCGGTATTTCCTTTGTGACTGAACGAGCTCGGCTCATTCGGACACGATTTCGGATGCGGTTAGCGGTGCCGCGGACCTGATCAGTATCGGCCTCACAAATCCGTGAGCCGACGGCGGAGGGATTACAGTTGCCAATCGACGAACAGCAATCTGCCAGGAGCGGAGTAGAAGCGAGTGTCGATGACACGAATCCGTGTAACGACGGCGGAGTGATTACAGTCGCCAATCGACGAACAGTAATCTGCCAGGAGCGGAGTAGAAGCGGTTTCTCTTAGAGCGGATAATCGGAATCGGATTCTC